AGTATTAGAAAAGGTTTCTATAACTACTTAAAACATATTTCAGATAGTTTGTACTAATTCAAATATTCTAGCATATATTATTATTATTAAAGGTTACTATTAATATTTTAAATAATTTATGTATAAAGTAAAAAGAGTATTAATAATTACTTTCTTAGTTAGAGAACACTAAATTACTCTTTACTTTAGTGTATGTATTTTTGTAGTTCAAATGTATTTACAAAGATTATTTTATAGTAAACTTACAAACCTAAGCACTTAGTAGTTTTAAAGAATAAATTAGTTTAACTATAATTTAGTTACTATATTAAATTATTTGTACTATTAAAGTAACAGATATAACAAGTTAAAGACAACAGAACATTCTACTAAGTTGAGAATGAGAGAAATATGTTGGTTATGAGAAACAAGAAGGATGAGTCATTGTGATTCTTAGTCATTGTTCTTCCAAAAAAACAAACAAACAAACAACCACCTGTTGTTGTCTTTGACAGTAACCAACACACTGCTCGTCATTGTCTACAGCAACGTCTGTCTCCTCCCAATTGTCTACTGCTTGATGCCTACTATGTATGAGTCCAACGATGCTTTTCCAGCTCGGAACAGGGCCTGTGTCTGTATCTCCTCTCAGCTCTACAACAGGCGAGGTGAGTAATTGGCTGTCAGTGCCAGTACCACAACTGTCTGACTGAGAACGACATACACAGCACTCGATACCAACTCGCCTTTGCCATTATTAAACTCACTCACACATCTCACGTATCTCACATCAACATCACCTCGTATTCGGGAGATACTCACGTGCGACGGTGGCCTGGAAAGACTCGTCCACCTCCTCCGCGACTTCTGCTTTTCAGGCCCCCGGGGAATCCATCTGCAATCTGCGGGCTGTCTCCTCCGGGTCTTCTGCACCCAGCACAGGTCCCAGCTCTGAATCCCAAGTCTTTTGATCAGCATGCCTCTTACCGGTTCTCGCTGGCTTTCCAGTGCGTGGTCAACATTGGTGTGCGTGGCTCGGAATCTATTCGGAGTCGTGTCGTTCAAGCGGGCACTCTTGAAGTTGTTGGATATATCTTAGAGGCATGGCTGGCTTCAAAGGGGTTCGCAGTCGGTCCGAGTGCCAGTGCAAGCAGGATACCACGTGAGACCCGTAAACAGCGGCAGCAATGCTGTCAACGACAGCTGGAGCAAAGACAGTGTGAGCAAGCTCAGGCGCTTGCCACGCTTCTTGCTATCGAACGATCGCTTGCGAATACTGAGGTGAGTCATCCATCAATTTTGTTATTGCTGACTGATTTATGGGACCTTTAGGAGGAACAAAACGTTGCCACATTGGACGCAGAGACATCTGTTTCTACTGATACGTCTGCTAATGCAACTCCGTCAGGATCGGGTACACCGACGAGTACTGTCATCGTTACAGGCCGTGGCAGGTCTGGGACGGTCGTCGCACGCCGAGTATGGGACACTGCGCAGTCAAATGTATGTGAACCTACGCTAGCGGGTCCGTCGATGTCCCACTCTCGGACAGTTCGGGCTCGCGAAGCAGCGGAATCTGCAACCCCATCAGCTTCAACATCCAGTCCAGACACCGAGACGGAGGATGATGGCGATCCCGACACAGACGGTGATGTGGAAATGGAATCGACGTCACACGACCACGACACTGACGAAAATATGCCTCCTCGTCCGCCAACACATCCTCATGCATGCCGAACGGTCGGAATTGTAGCAGATTCGCCTTCGCCGGCAACTACAGCTGCAGTCAGGGCGGGCGTTGCTGGTGCACCTGATGCACTTGATGTTGATATGGACGCACACATTATTATCGATACTAACGTTGGTGATGACGGCGTGGCAGAAGGAATCGTCGCACTCAACCAAAATGTGAATGATGATCTTGCTATGGGCGCTCCACCAGATGCATCAGGAGCTATAGACGCAACACCACGCACACGTACAAACAATCTCACGTCGGACACAAGGAACATCAATCTACAACGTGAACACCATCCGCACGTCCACGGCCGTGAAGAATTAACGCCGCGTGCCGTACTCGCAAATCTTCCCGTGCACGCTCATGCACATGCTCGTGCTCCGATCGTGATGCCCTTCGCCGCGACTGATGCTGGACCAACTCGAGGGGCCACCATCACTCAGGCTGCAGTGAGGGCTGCTCAGTTATCTGAAGCTAATACAGCCAGTGCAGCAACACGAACACCTACCGCAATGCCTCCCAGATCATTTCACCGGCACCATCATCACCTCCATCACCACGCAGAGGAGCAAGGTGCGTATCACGAGGAAGATGTGCTACTGTCTTTGCGGCTACTGGCGTACCTGAGCAAGTATCCTCACTTCCGGCAGGCATTTTACAAACCACGTCTGAGCTTCCATCCGGCTACGGCGATGGCTCAGGGTCATAGTATGCAGAACAGCAGCATGACTAGCACGTCAGAAGCATCAGGTTGGTGGAAGACTAGTACCAGCGCAAGTGCAACTGCTAATCCTGCAATAGTTTCAACTTCAGATACTAAGAAGGACCTTGGGGTTTTCAGGACAGCAACCGGACGAGACAAGGAGAAGGGAAAGACATCTACACCTGCGACCTCGGGTTCTCGTGACAATACTTCTCAGACTGGTCAGAATTTGTGGACACCACCCCGGATGACCAACGTATTTTCGTTGGTTGAACGGTTCACATTCAGGCCCAGCCCGACAGAGAGTGCTCTTCCCTCGCCTCCACCATTATTATCGCCGGAGATTCAGTATTGGGCAGGTGTGATTATGCGCAATGCATGTCGTAAGGACGAGAGTCGCGGTGGTATAAGCCAATGTGCTAACAGTAGGTCCTTTTGCCCTATGTATTTGTTGATCAACTTGAAGCTAAATCAGTAACTTCTAGTGCTTTGCGGAAAATGGGAATCCTTCCCGCGAGAATTTGCAAAATGCCGGAGATGCAGAAAAGCGAAATATTGTGGAAAGGAATGCCAGTCCCGTGCGTGGAGCAAGGGTCATCGTTTCTGGTGCAGTGTGCGTGGAGGAGAAGATGGTAATGAAAGTGCAACTGTCAATGGCACCCCTAGTGGCGCTGGCAGTGGTACTACAGGAGCTACTGCCACAACGAACTCAGTCCAACAAAATCAAAACGTTGAAGAGTACGCAGATGTAGAAAATAACACCACCGGAGCAGGGGGCGGCCGTGCAACATTGGATAGAATTGAACGGAGGCAGGCTTGTGACAGGGAGCGACAGCGAATGTCTACGGCTGCGGCTGCGGCGCTCGCTGCCATGCAGCCAGCTGCGAGTGCTACTTCTGCCGTGGCAGCTGCTAGGAATGCATCAACGGTAAGCATTCGACCGTTATTCTGAAGGGTAGATGTTAATGATCATTTTGTCTGGTCGTCAACAGAGACAGCAGGGCATGGTTCTCGGCCAAGCAGTCCAGCCTTGTTACCTGCAGGCTCATACATAGATACTGTATGTCTTTCAGATGCTTCAACAGCAACAATGCTTATTGATTTTGTATCAGCTGCACTTGTTCAAGAAAGCCTGTGACGTCAAGGGACGGTACTGCCCGACGTTGCAAACAATTCTCTCCCGACTACAAACGGATCTGTTAGTGAGTTGACCCTCCCCACTGGTATCACCTTCAATGCATACAGTGCAGAACAGCAAGCAACAATTTGCAGCTTCCTCCACGCTGTTGGTGTTAGAGAGATGCAGACTGATGTACTTACAGGGCCAGCTTCCTAGAGCACAGTGTTTTAAATAAAGTTACTTTTATTAAAAACAAACATTGTAAACAAGATAATAATACATTTCTAGTTTGTATTATTAAATAATAGTCATTACTTTTATTAAAAACAAACATTATATTATTAAACAATAGTCATTCATATTTTTAAAACAGTTATTATAAGTAGAATGTATTGTACTTATTAATCTTATATTATTATAAATAGTCTTAAGTATTATTATAACTATTTATAAGAATTATTAGTAGTTTTAATAATAGAGTATTTGTTTATTAATAAAAATAATAATTGTATGAATGTGTATATTTTTAAATATAGTTATGAGTAAAGTAACAAATGAGGGGTGACAGGAGCCAGTATATTATAATAATTTTAGCAGGGTCAGCTTGTCAATAAGCATACTTGTAGTTTAGCATTCCTCTCAATAAGTA